AAAATTAAGGATTATTTTTATCAGTTGCATTGCTATTCCATTTATTGCAATGTAACCTTGTATTTGATACCATGAATATGAATCATAGAATAGCCAAGGAGTTGTATTTTTTAAACCAGTTTTTGGCTAAATGAGTCTGTCCAAAGATATTCATTCTGGTAAGTTTCAGGATTGAATATTTTATTAAAGATATTAGTAGTGTAACTTTTGTAAAAATAATTTTCTTTTAGTAATTTTGTTAGAGATAATGATATTCAACTTTGGTTGTCATCTGTTTAGTCAGACCTTATGAACTCTAGCTTAGAGTGAAGAATAAGCTCCTTCCTTTTTAACTGATATTGAAATATCTTTTCACATACTGTAACAGTTTTCTGTAATGTATTTATGTTAGTAATTTTAAATGTCTCTCTAGTTTGAGGCTTGTAGAAAAATAGTTCATATTGATTTATGTTCCTTATTCTGTGACAGCATTAAGATTTCTTTCTTTCTTTTTTTTCTTTAATCTTGGTCTTTTTTTGCTTTGAAGAAAGACTAAAAAAATACTTTAACATAAAACAAGAAGCCACATGATTAGATATAAAACCCTTGTTTAATAATCATTGACTTAATTTCCAAATAAAATTATAGCATTAGCTTAGTTATATTAGTCATCTCATGAGTGCTTTAAATTTGTCTTTGTTTTATTGAACAAACTTTAAACTGCTTGAAAATACTGTGTAAGTTCACACTAATGTCTTGGAACATTTAAATGCCAGAGTAGTCACTCTGGTTTTGGTATGATTACAAATCTGGGATTTACAAAGCTAAATAGATTTAGGAGTACTAATCTTTTCTTTCTTCGTTTTCTGCTAACTGCTGTTCCATTGTGTGTGGAAATTTATTGGCTTTGTAATTACTATATTCTTTCCATTTTTACTTTAAAATCAAATCCTACTATGTTGCCTTATACTAGTCCTTCCTTATTTGAGGTCAGTTGTAGTGGGCTAGTTCTAAAAAAGTAGAGAAGGAAGAAATGACAGCATTATTAGCAAAAGAAATAATAAGCTTCAAAATGTTCTATGTAAGAAATATTTGATAATGAGCAAATTTTACACTTTGTTAAGGACATGGATGGTATAATTGATTCCTTGGGATTTCATCAAGGAAATCATTGATTGTAATGAATAAGTAGTTTTTCTAACCTTTTTAAAGGCACAAGCTGTTTCTTGAAAGGAAATCTCATTATATTAAAATAGGGATGCTGTGTTTGCAGGGACAGGGGTGGAGGTGGCACAGGGTGTGTCTCTGGTAGGCTAAAGCTTTACCTTACCCTTCCCACTCCTTCCCTTCCTTCTTCCTCCTCTTTAATAGCTTCTGGGGGCACAACCTTCTCTCCCCTAAGGAATTGCTGAAATAGAGTTTGAAAATTGCTGTTTTCAAACTTTTTCTCATCAATCTCTAAGATGATTAAGTGTTTGGTGAGTTTCTGCCTTATCTTCCCCCTCCCCCCAGGTCCATTCTATATTCCCAAATAGACCTATGTGACTTGGGATGAATCAGCAGCACTGGGCTTCACTGAAAGTTTTTATTTTGTTTTGTTTAATATAGATGTTGCTCATATTATTTAATTCAAAACCAAAAAACTATCCAATATACATTTGCCTGAAGGTTGAGGGTGACATAGACTGCTGGTGTTACAGATTATAGTCTAGAATATAGTCAAGTAGAACCTTAAATAGAAAATGTTACCTATTTTGCAAGTCCTGCAAATTATTTGTAAGATATTAGAGCAGAAATTGGTGGTCCTTTGCATACAACACATAATAAAGGTTTTAAAACATAAAGCTTATGATTATTTGAAATTATAGAAGGATAGCCATTTACATAGGAAAATTGGGTACTTAACTGACATTGTTGAATGCCCACTATATGCTGATACTATGAACTAAGTATGTTTCTCATTTAATCTCTACAGTCCAACTATACCTATATTATCACATTTTAAACTGATAAGAAAGTTGATCCTTGAGTTAAATAACATGCCAAGGGTTATAGTAAATAATGGATTCAGAGTTTTACTCTTGTTCAGTTTATTCAGACACATGATACTTGCTTTTTAGGAAATTATAGTCTATTTGTGCTGAGAACAACTCTTAAGTTTATCTATGTAGAAGATCTCTGAAGTGAGAACAAAAGGAAAGGTCAGCACTAGGGAGTAGTGTTAGGACACATAGAAAAAGATTAGGGTTCATGGGAAGGGACAAATGCTCTTCATATAATGGAGAGCCTTTTGGTGTTTTTTTTCTTTTTAGTGAAGCTACATTTTCTCCAAAGGGGTGCTCTACTTTCCCATACTAAGAAATGTCGCCTTACAGAGAAATAAGTTTTGCTAAGCAATCTATTCTTTTTTTTTTTTTATATATTTATTTTTTAGTTTTCGGCGGACACAACATCTTTGTTTGTATGTGGTGCTGAGGATCGAACCCGGGCCGCACGCATGCCAGGCGAGCGCGCTACTGCTTGAGCCACATCCCCAGCCCACAATCTATTCTTTAAAAAAGAAATAATCTTAAATATTTGAAAGTATAGTATTTAATCCAATGAAGTATTCAATGAATGTTATCCTAGATAAGTTTGATAATTTGTATCTATATAGTATATTTCTACCCTATCCCTCCTTTTGAGATAGCCTGAGCATTAGCATTTTAACATTTCTGGAAAGCTCTGTAATAAAGAAATCTAACTTTATTCACCCTAGGTGAATATTCCTTCACCCTCAGCTCCCACTTAAGTGTTAGCTTTCTCAGCCTATCATTGAACCAGTTGTCCTCGGAAAATTGTATGGGACCATTTAGAACATTATGCTTCCTTTAGTTTTCTAACTAAAAAATATTTTTTCCAGTATAACTTTTTCAGAATTATAATATTTAGTGAGTTTTTTTTCTTTACTCAAAAGTAACTAGTCAAGATTTTAGATGGAATTCCAGGAGGAACCTGCCTGCTTAAAAATTATCATAATTTATACTAATACTAAGTATAATTTTTATATTGATTAATTTTGAAAAAATCATTTTCTTTGCCTTAAATTATTTTTTTAGCAGATTAAGTTGGGAAGGATATGAATGAACTATTATTTAGGGATCCTCTTTCATTTTATGATAGATATAGGTTTCTTCATGAAAATGTTAATTTAGAATATTTATTTGGTGATATTTTTATTCCTAGAAAAACGGAATAAATATTGTTTATTGTTTAAGTTTCAGTTTTGTAATTTTGACAATGAACTAAACTGAACTATGTATTCTACATTGCTGGTACATCAGACTACCTCCCAAGTAGATTCACAGGTCAGATTTCCTTAAAATCTCTGGTTTATGAGGTAAAAATATATAGGTAATTTATTGGACATACTGAATTTTAATTACAAACAATAACATTTTGAAATATCTTTGCATTGTTAAGTTAGTTATTAGTTCTTGATGTAGGAAGTGTAGCATGTCACATAAAGAAAACTCAAAGAACATTTAGGACTTGGAATTACACAAAACTGAATTTGATTTGAATCCTGGCCCTGCCACACTAGTAGATTTAACTTTGATGAGTTATTTAATATTCATTATACATTATCAGGTAATAACTATGTGCCAGCTATGTGGTGGGAAGGTGAGATGGGGAGGAGAAATAATACTTATCTTTAGAGAACTCAGATAGTAGCGTTCAGTACAACCTCTCTGAATCTCTTATTTTCTTGGCACAATGGAGGTTAGAGAACTTAAAATGCCCAGGATGGTACTTAGGGGAACAATATATTCTCATAGAATTAGGTTGTTATTGTTCATGCTATTTAATTAAGGCTACAAAGAGACAGAAAAATATGATTTGATTTCTTTCTTATTTGTTGACCACAGAGCCATAAAAGATTTATTTTAAGTTGCCTAATGTTCATTCTTTTATTTGAATAGTTCTTGAGCTCCTGTTAAGTTTAAGGCACCAGAGCTACTTAACCAGGCTTTTAGAATATTAGGGCTTGGAGCCATTGCCTTTGCTCTTGAGTTTTAATTTTTGACTAAGCAAACAATTTGTCAGACTCCACAAAAAATACTTGTGTTAGCCTAATGAAAATACTTCAAGGAACAGGCCTTTAATGGGAGCAGAGCCACTATCTAGAGCAGGAGTCTGCAAAGTTTTTCTGTAAAGAGGCAGATGTTTTAGACCTTATGGGCTCCACCATCTCTTGTTGTAGCTACTCAGTCCTGCAGGTATAATGTCAAAGCAGCTATGTACAATACAGAAATGAATGAAAGTGGCTATGTTCCAATAAAACTTTGTTATGGATTCTGAAATCGAAATTTCTTACAATTTTCATATCACAAAGTGTTCTTGGTTTTAATCTTAAAAAAAATCAATCATTTAAAATAAAAGCTAATGCTTTTATCATGGGCTGTCCAAAAACAGGTGGCTAAACACAGTTGGCTCATGGGCCATACTTTGCTGACCCTTGATTTAGAGTACAATCTATGAATTTACTGTAATTGTTTTTGGATAATAATTCCAGGCATTTAGGTGAGTGGTACTTTTTAGTTGGAATTCAACATGTCAGTTTGTGTTCTGCTCCTTTTCCTCATCCAAGATTACTTTTCTAAGCAAAATATGTATGAGTAGTAGAAAAGAAATAGGAAAAAGTTAAGGTGATTTTATTTTTTGCCCTGTCTAGTTAATAATTTGAAGGGCATCTTGTAAAGGCTAATTACTTTCAGATTTCTTATGCATGTCAAATCAAATTTTGTAAATGTCAGTTTCAGGTAAAATGTATAAGGTTTTTTCTAAGCTTGAAATTGTTTATATTTATGGAATAGGAAGTTTTATCACTTAAATAAATTATAGATCAATAACTATGTTTACCTCTCATAAGCACTGTTAAAACACTATTTGGCCTTGAAAATAAAAATGATTTTTATATTGATAGTAATGATTTTTATGTTATAATTATAATGTAAAATTATGTTAACTTATTTCCATAGACACCAGAGAAGAAACAATCGGAATCATCCAGGGGAAGAAAGAGAAAAGCAGAAAACCAGAATGAAAGTAGTCAGGGTAAGCAGAGCAATATCTTACTTCCGAGCTTAGTAAACACTTACAATTAATCATTCTGATTTTTAATCAATTAATATTCAAATTTGTTAAAAAGTAATTTCATGTTTTTGTGAATTCTGTAGATAGCTGTGTATAATTTCTGAATTTGTAATAGCTTAGGACTATATTTTATAAGAAATAATTATATGAAACTACAATCTTTTTGTACCATAGATAGTTAGCTTAAGGTTACTTATGCTTTTTGATGTTTCCCTTATTTTTCAGTTCGTGTCCTAGAAAGTCAAGTATCATTTCCAAATCTGGCAAGCATTACTTTATCACCTTTCATTTATCTCTATTTATATGAATTATATTATTGAAATGGCTTCTTGTTTTAAAATAAAAACTTTAAATCTCACTTTCAAACAAGTATTCCATTTTCCTCTTCCCTTTCATTAAAAAAAAAAAAAAAAAAAGGCTATGTAAAAATAGACTGTAAGATGGGTTAGGTGGCACATGCTTGTAATCCCAGTGGCTCAAGAGGCTAAGGCAAGAGGATCTCAAGTTCAATCTTCAGCAACAGTGAGGCACTGAGCAACTCAGTGAGACCCTGTCTTTAAATAAAATATAAAATAGGGCTAGGGATGTGTCTCAATGATTAAGTGCCCCTGAGTTCAAGCCCAGTACAAAAAAAAAGATTCTAATTAAAGCATGTTTTTCTCTTAATATCTGCTTTTCATCCTTTCTTACATACCTGCCTTTTGTGAGAAGAGCTAAGAAAAGCATTTTCATTAGACTAAAAAATCTCTTGTAATGGACAAGAAAACAGTACTATTGTTTAATTTAGGATTCAAAATAAATTAGGCTCTTAACTCATATAGGATGATAATTTTTACATCTAGTGTTACATGTTTTGGAGTCAATCTCTAGTTGACTAAGTACCATAAACTTGTGTTTTACCAGTTTATTTATGGCACTTGAATCAAGGAAAATATTTGTAGCAACTGTCTTTTTGTGGAAAGAAGTGGTTAGTTAACAACAATTTTAGATTTATAGGGCCTTTTCTTTAGTGTGTAGTACTTTGTATCTTACTTGGCATGGGGCTCCTTTTTCGATCTTAATGTATTTCGCCAAAGTTGTGGTTAGGGGACTTGTAACTTAAAGATATGTTAATTACGGCCATTTCGACAGCAGATTAAAGTCACCTCAAAACTAAGTTCCAGAAGAAGGTGAGACTTCTGGGTTGCTTGAGCCAACCTATCTTTAAGAACCTGTGGAGGGGTGGGATGGGGGGTTCTTTGTGTGTTTCCTGCCATCCACAGAATTGTCTGATTTTCTTCTAGTTTTAGGATGGTTGCCTAAATTAGATTTATTCATTTCCTCTTCTTCACTCAGTATTTGCTTTGGAGAGAGGCTGACTTTCTGTGTCCTTCCCATCCCCACTCATTTAGAGTAAGCCTCTTCAGGTTCAGAGCAAACCTTCCCTTATCACCATATTGACCAGATGGGATTGTGTTTCCATTCTAAAACTAGTAATGTCTAACAGAGGTACTATTGCCCCTAGAGAAATCAGGCCCATCTCTGAAACTGGAAATGGCATAAAGTGTTACCCCTACAAATATGGACTGTGTGGAGAAACAGAGTGTCTCACATTGCATGGGGCTTCTGGTTGAGCCAACCTGTCTTTAAGAACTTGTTTTGAGGGATTTTTTTTTTTCTTTGTGTGATTCCTGTCATCCACAGGATTGTTTGATTTTTCTGAAATAAATAAATATATATATATATATAACAAGATTGGATTTCTGGTAAGCAGGAAAAGAGGAACTAGGAGTGGGGACTGTATAGAAGCTAAGTTAAGGGAAAAGGGTTGAGGAAATGGCTTCTGGGTAGACAACCCCAAACATTAATAGGTATACCTCTTTAGAATCCGCAGGGAAGTTACCATAGATAGCAAGGAAGTTCCTTTGACATAAAACTGGTTCCATAGTCCTGCCAGACCTCTAAATGAATTGCTACAAAACTATTGTTCCAAATTTTTAGGTACTATTTATAAATCTGGGTACTTGTTTGGTTTTTTAAAAAATTCCTCCTTATTCAAGAAAGAATTTAAGGTTTTTGAGCTTTTAAGTATATTGTTTGTTCATTTCAGTAATACTTGGCACATAGTAACTACTTAAGAAATATTTGTCGGCTAAAATACATAAATGCATGAATTTAAATCAGTATTGAATTGATAGCTGTATATTTATTTATGTTATACAGATCTTTTGACTCTGTGATATCATTAGTTTCTCTCTTATGACTTGAAGAAATCATGTATTCTATGTAGTTCTGATTAAGATGGATGCCTCCCCTCCGCAAAAGTTTCTCTAAACACCGTCTATATTAACAAGTTCTGAATTAAGTATTTATAAAATGAAGACTCCATTTTAGAGCAAAATGTTTTAAAGCGCAGTGTAATCTCTTATGACTTGGTTGACTTTACCAATATGTCCTAAGACTAGTATTTAAAATTTAGTTCATTAAAACATATCCTATTAATTTGGAAATACTTTTTAGAAAATCAAAATAACATTTTACAAAATAACATTTATATTGAAGCATGTTGTCATTTTGACAGGGATTATGTTTTGGTTTATATTAACCCAATTTTTTTTTTTTTATTTCTACCAAGAATGAATTTGCTTATCAGTTATGCAGTTACCACTTTTTAATTCATTATTATTTTTTAAAATTAGTAGTCATTAGGCAATGTTAATAATGTTGTTAAAACAGGGATCCATCTGCTTTAGAGACTGTAGCTCAGTGGTAGAGTATGTTCTTAGAATGGGTCAAGCCCTGGGTATGTTCTCTAGTACCAAAGCAAAAATCAGCATTAACACAAACACCATGAAATCCCTTGTCATTTATTTGCTTGATTTCACAATAATTGGGACTTCTAAAAATTGGTGTGTTTCTTTTAAAGAATGTTATTTGATTTCTTAACAATCTGATATTCTTACTATTATATTGTACACATGTATGGATATTTAACAGTGAATTCTACTATTATGTACAACTACATCCATAATGCACCAATAAAAATGGGTGAAAAAAATCTGATCTCCTAAGGATTCAGTATTTTTGATGTTTATCACTACCATACTAAAATATATGCTTTTTATTAAATAGATGATTTTTTGTGCAGTAAGGAATTTAATGTTTGGCACATTTTCTTTTTGGTGTTATATATGGTAGATAATCATGACTGACTTTAAATCAGTACAATTTTTTACTTTTATATTTTAGGAAAAAGTATTGGGGGACGTGGCCACAAAATTAGCGACTATTTTGAAGTAAGTTCATTGAGAAGTATTTCTGATTCCTAATTCAGTATAATTTTGCTGTGAACTAAATATTTCTTTGAAGCACGGGGTCACCTTTTGAGCAGAGCTTTAGTAATATGTGATATTTTTCATTGGCATGACACATCATATATAACATTCAAAGTTGTTTCTCACAGATTTACTTATAACAACCCATTAGATAAGCTAAGTTGGTATACATTTCTGATTTATAAAAGATGAAACTAAGGACTTAAAAGTTTGCCAGTTCTCTCATATCGATACAGGCTTTATCACACAACACCCATGTTGAGCCCTGTGGATGGAGATTGAATAATTCCTAGAGATATGAGTATTAGAGTCTTTAAAAACAATAAAGAGTGAACATTTGGAGTTTTAGCCAATTTGGAATGTTTCCTTCTACATAGAAATACTTTGGGCTTCCAATTTTATAGCAGGGCATATTAATGTGATTATTAAAACAACAAATAGGATCCATTCAGTTGAAAAATACATACTTGAGGGTGAGAGCAGAATTGACTGATTAAAGCAATAGCTGAATTTTTTTAAAGTTTTTTTTTTTTTAAACTCTCCATTGCTTCAAGTTTATAGAATCTAAGGTAAAACTGTTGCTGACAATAAATTACCTAATGCCCTTTAGTTGAGGTCAGTCACTCTGTTAATTTCTTAACAACCTTTGCTAAAAGTAGAATCAATTAAAATAAACAAACATTTCTTGAATGCCTACTGTGTGCTAGGCATTATGCTAGGCACTATAGTGAGACAAAATTCTTAGATTGCGGGGAAATTGTGTAATGAACACTAAGAAGTCCTATCTCTGCTGTTTATATCAAAGTTAAGTGAGTATTTTAAAAAGTGAAGTAGAGGGGCTGGAGCTATAGCTCAGTGGTAGAGTACCCGGCATGTGTGAGGCACTACGTTCGATTCTCAGCACCACATATAAAAAAATAAAAATAAAGTTCCATTGACAACTAAAAAACAAATATGTTTTTTAAAAAGTATTAAAAAATGAAGTAGACAATAAACTATACTCTTAAAGGAAGCCAGTAGCAGCAAATTGTTTTCTTCTGTTCTTAATATAGAAACATTGAGAAGGAGAAAGCTAAGAAACAGATTAGCCAACTCATGCCTTTTGTAAGAAAGAATGACTTTTTTTAAAGGGGTTAAAGGAACTCGTTCCACGTAATTCTTGTATGCCATGAACATTTGGATTTTTAATAGATCTTGAGAATGATGATTCTGTTTTAAGATAGTTGATTATGTTCACTAAAATCCACATGTGAACAATTTACGATTTGTTGGGAGCATACTGGCTCAAGAAACGTTTTCAGGAGAACTGTGCTGAGCTTTAGAGAACAAATAAAACATGTTCATTGCTCTGAAGTAATTTATTTGTCTTTGAATCAATAACAAATAACAAATTATAGTCAGAATATAAATTAATAAGTATCAGAGGTAGTCTTGTCATGTTCTTGTGATTAGGAGTATTCTAATCTTTTAGAACTTAACCATAACTGATCTTAGTTTTGCTTTTTCTGAACCTACTTAAATGACTACTTGATATGAGTTAGAACTGGATATACTTAGGGCTGGAATGTATAAGGTCCTGACTTTGATCCTCAGCATTGCATATAAAATAAGTTATATTTATTTCTTAATAAGGTATCTAAAATAACAATTATCTAATCCTGTTTTAATAAATGGTGATTTTTTTTTTCTTTTTCTCAGTACCAGGGAGGAAATGGCTCAAGTCCAGTAAGAGGCATACCTCCTGCAATCCGTTCTCCTCAGAATTCACATTCACATTCCACTCCTTCCTCATCTGTAAGTTTTTTCATGTTGTAGTCTTTGTCTTCTAGGAGGTCATATACATTGAATGACATTTGTAATTCATTGTTTTTATTGGGAAGTTCTATATAAAATAATATTTATGTTTTAAAAAATAATTTTTATGAGGTGAGCTGAATCTCTTTTTTAACAATCTGATGCCATTAGAATTTTGTTTCTGAGCCAGTTACAGTGGCACACGCCTATAATGGCTCCAGAGGCTTAGGCAGGAGGATCTCCGATTCAAAGCCTCCCTCAGCAAAAGCAAGGCACTAAGCAATGCAGTGAGACCCTGTTTCTAAATAAAATACAGAAGAGGGCTGAAGATGTGGCTCAGTGGTCAAGCACCCCTCAGTTCAATCCCCCTCCACCCCCAAAAAAGAACTTTGTTTTTGAAAATGAGCTGCCAAAGATTTCCTGAATTAATTATATCTAATAAGTATTGTTTCTATAAAATAATGTGGTTGAGCCTCTGGGACTGAGATAAATAAATAACTCTTGAATCATTATGTAGTCAGTTATTAATTTCTGACTTCTAACTTTTTTATCAGTTAAACTTCTTAACCATGAAAATAATAGTATAAATCATTTCTGGGAATGCTTAAGAAAAAGGTAGGCTGTTTAGTTAAACATAGGAAAGAAGGACATTGGCCAATTTTATAACTTTTCAATTTGTAACATTTTAAGACATTTTATGTGCATTGTTTTTCATGTTGGATTTTATTTTTTATTTACTTTGTGTGAAAGTTCAGTATCTAGTTAGAAAAATAAAGTTGGCTTTCAACAATTTAAAGATAAGTTAGAAGTTTTTGAAAATCATAGTTTCACTTATGTATTCAAGTATTGTGTCTGCTTCTACCCCTTGGTGTACTTAGTTTTCTTTATTTTGTCCCTTGCATACAACCCATATACAAAGTAGGCAAAAGATTCAATAGTAATTTAATGATTATGGTGATAGATAGCATTGATACAGTGCTATAATCTGTTAATTTCTATGAATGTGTTTTTAAGCTAGTGACTAGATAAATCATAGAATATATTAATAAATTGATATCAACCTACTTATGGTCATGCATTATTATCCCTGTTACTAAGAATTCTGTATTAAGATATTTTTGTTTTTCCTTTTGAACCATCATAATTTGTTTTTGATATTTTTGTTTCAGAACAATTTATCTGGCCTTAATTGTTTTAAGTAGTATGAAACTATTTAAGATTTCTTTGATGGCACTAGATTATAAGCTCCTAGAGGGAGAAAATGTATGGTTGTAGCTCTTACTGGGCATTATGTAGGAGGTATTCAAAGAGTGCTTGTTGAATAAATGGTGATTAAAAAGTCAGTTATTTTTCAAATATTATTCTGATTTAAAAATAAAAACTTGAGAAATGTTAAGTAGTTGCTACCAAATGGAACCTTTTTTCCTGCTTAAAGGTAAACATTTTAATATATGTTTTTTCAGGTTCGACCGAATAGCCCTTCCCCTACTGCATTAGCTTTTGGGGACCACCCTGTTGTACAACCAAAGCAGTTATCCTTTAAAATTACTCAGGTAATTAATAACTAAAATCATTTTTATGACTTCTAGGAAACCACTGCACAACTTTATACTAAGAACTTAGACATATACTATTGTTTTAGACATAAAGTAAAATTAAACATCAAGAAAACTAACATACTAAACAACAACAACAACAATAAAACATTTAGGGAGGGAGGGAAAAATTGAAACACCCAATTTACTATCACTTTGTCCTTTGTTTCACATTGACAAATACATAGATGTTTTAAACAAATCATTCAGAGCACTCTTAATATGGTAATTCTCTTTACTGATTGTTTTTGAACATAGCATTCAAGTATATGTAATTGATATCTTGAGTTGATACTAGTATATTTGTTAGAGGTAAACATTAAGGCAGTTCATTTGTGGATGTGTACACATATATGCTATAAGTTAGAAAGTTATTAGAAAATTTAATTATTTGGATATTTGTTATTCTTTTTATTTAGTTTCATGACTTGAATTAGGTACTAAGTTTTTTGTTTTTGTTTTTTGGTATTGGGGATTGAACCCAGGGCCTTATGATGTTAAGCACATGCTCTACTACTAAATTGCACCCCTAGTCCAGTAATAAGGTTTCTTTGTTGTTTTTCTTTTTAGTTATATAGGACAGTAGAATATATTTTGACATATTTATACAAACACAAAGTATGTCTTTTTTTTTTTTTAAGTTGTAAATGGACAGAATGCCTTTATTTTATTTGTTATTTTTTTAATGTGGTGCTAAAGATCAAACCCAGTACCTCACTCATGCTAGGCAAGTATTCTGCCACTGAGCATCCCAATCTTGCAGTACTGTTTTTTACTTTAATATTGTACATGTGACAATTTCTGGATCACTTTTTTTTTTTTTTTTTTTTTTAATTAGTTTGGGGATTGAGAGAGTAAGATTCTGTTGCTTGACCAGCTTGGTTCCCCAGTTTTATTTTCATTTAATTCTTACTTGTAGGGTCATATTCAAACCATTATGTATATATCAAAGCCCTTTTGGCCAGGATTTCAAGTACAGGGTATTTCTTTTAGTCGCTGAGCAATTCATAAAAGGTTTTGAGATGTTAACTCAAATTTAGGAAGAAGTTCAATGTATCTATTGTACACTATGACAACTATAGTTATTGTATGTATGAATATTGCTAAAAGAATAGATTTTAAGTGTTCTCATCACACATAAATATATATATATATTAAATACTTAATTTAGCCACTCCACAATGTACATGTATTTCAAAACATGATGTTGACCATAAACATATACAATTTTTACTTGTCAATTAAAAAACAATCGAAGCCAGTTATGGTGGTATATCCTGTAATCCCAGCAGCTCAGGGGGCTGAGGCAGGGGGATCACAAGTTCAAGGTCAGCCTCAGCAATTTAGCAAAGCCCTAAGCATTCAGCAAAACCTAATCTCAAAAAAAAAAAAAAAAAATTATAAAATAAAAAGGGCTGGGGATATAATGCTCAATGGTTAAATGCTGCTGGATTCAAGCCCTGATAAAGAAGGTTTTTCACAAAATTCAGGAATCAACTAGAGTCGTGTATAGTACAAAGCAGTGACTATATTGAGTTTTAATGAGAAACCAGTATTCTAAATAATTAACTTTTTCCTATGTTTGTAGCATTTCTGCTTCTGAAGTTATTAAAGCTTAAAGCTGCACTAAGACTTTTTTGAGATACCATTTACATACAAATATAACTCACCTTTTTCTTTGCTTTTGGAAGTTAAATAAAATCTAGTTTTATGTTTGTATGCATAAGACTATATAATGGAAATAACAAAGTAACTTTCTTTCATTTAGACTGATCTCACAATGCTGAAATTAGCAGCATTAGAAAATAATAAAAACCAGGACCTGGAAAAAAAGGAAGGTCGTATAGATGACTTGCTCAGGGTAAGTAATAAGTCATGGAGTGGAAAAAATCGAGCAAATTATTTGGCATCAGTGAAACTGATGAGAAAAAACATGGTAAAGTTGTCCATAGCTGGAAAAAAAATAAGCTTTGTCTAGTAGTGTAAGTATGTGACTGATAATACCAACTTTAAAATTATTCTGTAAGCTCTTAATGGAAATCTTTAAAATTTGATTTTTATATTATCTGCTACTCATCAGACAGATAATCATTTCATGTTAGTTTTAAAGTTAATTGATTTTGCTATATGCCTGCCTTATATCTGATGCTATAGAGAATAAAATAAGTAGTCCTGTGAGATTTTTAAGGAAAAATTTATTTTAAAATATATCCAAAAGTGTACTTATAATGTGAGTAAGGTATAAAACAGTAGTTCTTACTCCTTGCTGTTTATTAGAATCACCATATGGAAAGGGTAGAAATACTAATAATGTCTGAACTCTTAACCTTGAGGAGTTCTGATCAAATTGATGTAATGTAGTCTGGATGCTTAGTTCTTTGTTTTTATTTTATTTTTTAAATTTTTTTAAGATGTTGATGAACCTTTATTTTATTCATTTATTTGTATGTGGTACTGAGGCTTGAACCCAGTGCCTCACTCATGCTAGGCAAGCACTTTACCACTGAGCCACAACCCCAGCCCCTGGATGTTTAGTTTTATTATTTTTTTTTCCTGATTTTTTTTTTCTTTACTGAGTTATACATGACAACAGAATGCACTTTGATTCATTGTACACAAATGGAGCACAATTTTACATTTCTCTGGTTGTACACAATGTAGGGTCTCACCATTTGTGCAATCATACATGTTCCTAGGATAACGATGCCCATCTCATCGTTTTAAAAGCTGCTACGGACTATTCTAATTAAGCAAGCATTGAGAACCATTGGTATAGAAACTCAATAAAATCAACACCTATGATTCTACCATATTCTCCTTTGGAACATCCAGAGTGTCTTTCCTAATTCTGTCCCATACTCTTTCATATCTCTTCACCATTAACCTCTATTCTTTTTAAAATTATTTATTTATTCTAATTTGTTATACATGATGGCAGAATGCAATTCATTTCATATTACACATATAGAGCACAATTTTTCAAGTCACTGATTGTATGCAAAGTATTTTCAGTATTTTTTAAATAGATGGACACAATGCCTTTATTTTATTTGTTTATTTTTTATGTGGTGATGAGAATCGAACCCAGTGCCTCACACATGCTAGGCAAGTGCTCTACCACTGAGCCACAATCCCAGCCCTCTTTTTTTGTTGTTGTTTTATCATTTAGTAGTTTTCTTTGTAACAAAGAATATAAAGAATAATACTTCATACATGTTCTAACTCATCCACCATCATTCCTACCCTCTTGCCCCCCTCCCTTACCCTCCCTCTCCTTTGTCCTATCTAAAGTTCCTCCATTCCTCTCATGCTCCCCCACCTTAACCTCCAAATTTTGTATGTATCTTGCCATTATGTTTTTTATTAATGCTTATATTAAATATGTCTGTACACTAAATTATTTAAGTGAAATTATCTTATGTTGATCCTTTTGCCCAGCTTGTTTTCACTGAACATTATATATAGGAGAATAAGGCATTACTCTGTGAATATGCCATGATTTGTGTGTGTCTCTTCTGCTTTTAGTTGACATTTTGTTTTCATTTTTTCTAATATAAATAATTCTGCTAAGATTATTCTGTTTTTTTAAACTTTACTAAGTGAAATTTATTTATCTATTTATTTATTTATTTTATTGGTTGTTCAAAACATTACAAAGCTCTAAAGGTAGCAGAATACAACAGTCACTAGTATGGCAATATGTAAAAACGTGGATGTGTAACCGATGTGATTCTGCAATCTGTATACGGGGTAAAAATGGGAGTTCATAACCCACTTGAATCAAATGTATGAAATATGATATGTCAAGAGCTTTGTAATCTGCTAAGAATATTCTTGTAGGGCAGATGTGCAAGATTTTTTCTATTATATATGCTTAGGGAAGACATGGTAATAGTACAAAGCATGAACATCTTTTGCTTCACTTTATGATACCAAACTTTTCATTGATATATACTCCCAACTATAGTGGTCCAGAAAGAATCTATTGCATATAAACCTTGCCAAGACTTAATAATATAAGGTTTAAAACAATTTTTTTTTCTTTCTGGAAAATCTGATGGATGTCTTCATGGTGTCTCATGGCTCTGTTATGCAGTCCCGGTTTACTGTTGGTTTAAATTAACTATATGTTTCTTCTATGAAGTAACTGATTCGGGGGGTGCCCAATTTAAATTTAAATTGGGTTGTTTGACTCTTAGTGATACCAACTTTTTTTGGTCGGGCATGTTGATTTTCTCCCACTATGTGATTTGTCTTTTCATTATGTCATGCTGTCCTTTGGTGATTGTATTTTTAATTTTTATATTATTAAATATTTTATTTATATTTGCCTTGCTTATTTTTAAAAATTCTTAGATCCTAAAGATGTTTTTCTATATATTCTTTTTGAACTTTTATGTTCTGGTCTTTCAGTATAAGTTGTTAATCTCAATAGAATTGATTTTGGGGTATGGTGTGGAGTAGGGTATTCCATTTAATTTCTTTCTGTGTGGATAACCAGTTGTTCAACTCCTTTTAATCAAGTGTCCATTCTTACACTGTCAACTCCATCATAAATTGTTATTTCCATATGCAAGTGGATCTATTTTGTGTTATCTATATTGTGTTCCATTGTTCTGCTTGAGTACCAGTATAGTGATACTCATGCCTTTATTTTATTTGTTTATTTTTAATGTGGTGCTGAGAATCGAACCCAGTACCTCACACATGCTAGGCAAGTGCTCACTGAGCCACAACCCCAGCCCTCTTTTTTGTTGTTGTTGTTTTAGCATTTAGTAGTTGTCTTTGTAACAAAGAATATAAAAAACAATATTTTAAGTTAGATAGAAATTTGTTTTTCAAGCAAAAAGCAGAAGTGGGAGCCCAGGTGTGATTTTTTTTTTTTTTCCATAGTGTCATATAGGACCTTGGCTACTTCAGTATTCTGCTTCCTCATACTCAGCACATGGCTTCCATCTTGAAAGTCCCATCAGGGTCCAAAATATCTACTTGAATCACAGTTATAATATCTGTATTCTAAGCAGAAATCAGGAAGAGGTGAGGAAAACAAAAAGTGTGGTTCCATGTGCAGCCTTATTGGATGTTTAGTCAAACTACTTTTACTAACATTGCATTGACCAGCCTTAGCTACAAGGGAAGTTTGGAAATGTAATCTTTTAGCTAGGCACATGTCAATCTAGAATAAAGCATTGGATTTCCATTATTAAGAAGAATTTGGTTGATGATGGTGATGATTATTGTTGTAGCTTTATATTAAATTTGATATATGGTTCAACAAATATCTTCTATTTCATTTTGGCTATTTTGGTGCCCTTTGTAGTCCTGAGGGAATTTTAGAGTCGGTTTTTCAAATTAAATACATGCACATTGTAAATACACACACACACACACACACACACACACACACACACACACAATTTGTTGGTCTTGTATGAATTACATCTATTTTAGGTCATTTTCAAGACATAATGTCAGTGTACTTTAGCTTCTTCCATGATTTGCCTAGACCTGTTGTTTTCAGACTAGATATCAGCATGAGTGGAGAACTTGTTAGAAATGGAAATTTTTAGCCCCTTTCTTAGACCTATTAACTCAGAAAACTGGCAGAAGTGGGTCTCAGCAAGTCTTCCAGGTAATCCTCTTACTACTACACTATTCTAATCAGAGGAAGGCCTCTTTGAGCATATGACTGCCTACAGAGTTAAAAAGAGTTTTGGTATCTTATTGCTAAGGAAGAATGGTGGGAATAGTTATTGGATAAGCAACTTACAGCATCATCCACAATTTTAATAGAGAAGATGTTTATTTTAAGAGAACACTCATTTTTTTCTTTAAAAAAAAAAAAACAATTTTTTTTTTTTTTTACAGAAATACAGAAGCTCTACTACTAAGCTACATCCCAGCCCTTTTTATTTTGTTTTGAGGAAGGGTCTTTCTAAGTTTTTCAGGCCAGACTCAATCTTATGATCCTCCTGCGTTAGCTTCTCAAGTTGCTAGAAGTACAGGCATGTGCCACTGTGCCTAGCTCAGATTTATTCTCAAGTGTTAAGACATATTCTATACCATATTTCATTTATTTTTAACTGAGGTAGATGTTGTTGCCCCTGTTTAGAAATAAGAAAACTGAACTTAGATTCAGATAACTTAGTTAACTTAGCCAGTGTTATGTAACTTAGAGTGTGGATTTGAATATATGGAATATGTATATAAATTTCATGTATTTTTAGCACAAGTTGAGTTACATTTAATTCTATTGTCCCTTAGTAAGTAGGCTTGATTTTTTCAAAGCATCATGCTCAGATAATTTAGTTTTATTAATCCTATCTATGTACAATTTATTCAGAAACATTAAAAATATTTCTAAGAGCTGGGTATGGTGGCATATGCCTGTAATCCCCACTACTCAGGAGGATCTCAAGTTTGAGGTCACCTGTGGCAATTAACAAGACCTTGTCTTAAAAAATGGAAAAAATTGGGGATATAGATCAGTGGGAGATGACCCCTGAGTTCAATCCCTAGTTCTGCAAAAAAAAAAAAAAAAAGAAAAACCCTAAGCTTTTCATAGATACAAATTCTAGACCTTTTGCATTTTCTATGTATATTTTAGGCTAACTGTGATCTCAGACGGCAAATAGATGATCAACAAAAATTACTTGAAAAATACAAAGAACGATTAAATAAGTGCATATCAATGAGCAAGAAACTTCTTATTGAAAAGGTAAGTTCAAAGTTCACTAAATTTTCCCTGCTTCCCTAGCCCCTTTTGTCTTGTATGCTTTTAAAATTTAATGAATAAAATTGAATGATGATATTTCCTCCTTTTTTCAGAGTACACAAGAAAAATTGTCAAGCAGAGAGAAGAGTATGCAAGATAGATTACGCCTTGGGCACTTTACAACAGTTAGACATGGCGCTTCATTTACTGAACAATGGACAGATGGTTTTGCATTTCAGAATCTTGTGAAGTTAGTCATTATTTTTTTAGTCATTCTTATATTTTCAAAAATTAGTATTTCTTTGGGTTTTTGTTACTTTAAAATATTATAAATTTGGAATTACACTCAACATCTTCCCCTTATTTTTTGAAAGGAATGTGAAATGGGTGTTAACAATTTTAACTTTAAACAGACATTGATTAATTAGCATTCATCTATAATGTAGTATTCTGAAGTCTGACTTTCCTAAATATAACCAACATTCTAACTTTTAGGTGATAATTTGGAAGGAAAATTGTTAGAAATTTGTTCATTGGAAGAGTTGTATGTGTCTGCGTCTGTCTGTCTCCTGGAATTTTTCTACATACCTCTTATTTATTTATTTATTTGATGTAGGATCTCGTCATGTTGCCTAGGCTGGTCTTGAACTCTTGGGCTCAAGTGATCCTCCTACCTTAGCCTCCATAGCGCTGGGACTAAAGGCTTGTGCTGTTGCACCTGGCTTTCTGCTTAATTTTATTTTTGCCATTTCCTAGTCTATAAGTGATAATATTCAGCCCTTACCTCTCTCTATTCCTAAGGAAAAGAACTTTTTTTCTTCTTTTGCCTCAGATTTAATAACTCAGTTGAAATGAACATGTGGCTTTAGCATTTCAAAGGTGTACTTTAATACACTGCATTTTCTTGAGTTTAGATGGTGTTAGGTAAGAATAGGTTGGCTGTTTCCGTGTTAAGGGAGCCAGGACCTATGTTACTCCCATTGGCTCATTTGTTTATTTATCCATCCATCCATCCCTCCTCCCTCCCTCCCTCCCTTCCTTCCTTCCTTCCTTCCTTTCCTCCCTCCCTCCCTTCCGTCCTTCCTTCCTCTTTCGTCTGGGAAATTTATAAAAATCAAGGAAGCAGAGTATGCCAGAATTCTACATCAGCTTTCCCAGAGTCAGTCCCTTATGAAAAACAGAGCAAAGCCTATTTCACATGGTATCACATCAGCAATGCTGCTTCAAACATGCGTTCCCAGGACAACTTGCTAAAAAACATGGCCTTCTCTCTCAACAGATTTTACTTTATTTTATTTTTTTTGTGTTCAGTACAGCTGTGCTTAGGTATTAAGCATAACACAATAAGGGACAGTATCCTTGTGATGCTAGAGTTTAGGTTTTAATTCTGTGAATAATGGACATTGTTAAAGGTTTATATGTAGTGTGTGTGATCAGATCTGAGTTGTAGAATGACAACTGATAATATGGAAATAATAGTGAAAAGAGGATAGATTGTTGAAGTTAATATGGAAAAGTATACAGATGAAAGTGATCATGCTCGAATTAATATATTGACTGTAAAAGTGGAGGAGAGCAAGAAATGGATTTGAGATAGAAGCCATAATTTTTTTAGTGTCTTGTGAGCAAGAAACTTTGCTACAAAACCCAGATCCTGTAGTTGTCCTATAATAAATAAAAGGGAAGGTTACGTAATTCATACGCATGGTCTAATATGCATAATATGACCTAGTATAAATACTATGCATGCCGGTAGTTAAAATTTCTCCACTGAATTATCAGAAAAGATCAAAATAACTTTTGTGTCTTAGCTATCACTAATAAGCATTTATTCGGGATTTACTGTGTTACTACATATTTTTATTATGTTGTTTGTAATTATTGGAATAAAGTGATTAGAAGATGAAAAGAGAAATGAATTAATGAAAATAAATCATGTTAATAATCTCTAAATTGGACGTTCCTTCCTGAATAATCAGATATTAGCTATATATCCATTCTAGAAATTCTTTACTTTCTATTAGGATTATAACTAGGCTGTTTATTTGCACTTATAGCATCTTGATTGTACTCTGAAATTGTTTTTAAAATTACTTTTGGCCAGGCATGGTGGCACACACCTGTAATCCCAGCAGCTAGGAGGCTGAGGCAGGAGAATCGCAAATTCAAAGCCAGCCTCACCAACAGTGAGGTGCTAAGCAACTCAGTAAGACCCTGTCTCTAAATACAATACAAAAAAGGGCTGGGGATGTGACACAGTGGTCCAGTGCCCCTGAGTTCAATCTTTGGTTTGTATGCACACACACAAGTTTTGGGTTTTTTTGTGTGTGGTGCTGGGAATCTAACTGCAGGGCCTTGCAGGTGCTTGGCAGGTGCTCTACCATTGAGCTACATCTCAGCTCTAAAATTTACTGTTTTAATAACTGAAATTATTTATTCCTCCTTCCAAGTGAAAACTGGCTTAAGGTCCTAGTCTCACTTTGCTGTTCTTGAGATTTTTCTATACCCTTTTGCTCTTCTACCTTGGTTCTTCCTGTTCTTTCATTCTTGACTTATTCTGTTGTTCCCTTACACAAAGCATAGGAAAGGGAAGGGAGTGTATGCAAAAGACCAGTAGGGGCTCTATAGTTGTGGTTTGAATGGTAGGGATGGAGTTAGATGAAACTTTTGACTTGCTCTAAATCTAAATACCATAACTAGGTAGAGTTTTAAATTTTTTGCATTACACGGTATGGTGACCTAAAAGCAAGATAATTACTATTTGATTAGCTTAGGGTATTGTACGATAGGATAGCTTAACAAAAAGATCCCCTGTTAAGCTACTTAATGCTCTGATCAAACTGTTAAAAATCTCCAACCTGTATTTTTGTAATAGACATAATATCTATTTGCTTTTAGAATTAGTGGGCTCATGGCAAAATTGCTTAGATTCTTGAATGGAAAATGTTAATAACTTCACATTTATTAACTTCCTAGTTTTCAAATTCATGCTGAGTCTCTTGCTGTTCCCTTATTTGTCTTTCCTTAAATTGTTAAAATTCTTTTTGCTCCCCAATTTTTTTATATTAAGGCAAATTTTTGTTTCATTTCAAAACATCAACTACACATCTTCAAAATTTCTTTTTAACAGATAAATTTAGAAAATAACACTTTCATATTAAATTCCTATTTGCCTTTTGTAATCTTGTCTGCTAATATAAATATAAAATGTATAAAGGTTTTTATATGTGAGATGCATGTACAAAGCCTGCCCCATTCTTAACTGCTAGGGTTTTTTTTTTTTTTTAAGATCATTCATTTATTTCATCAATGATTTTTTATTGAGCATATCACATTATGTATTGATCACTGTGCTAGTGTTAGGGGTACAAGAAGATATAAAGTAGATATGCTCTCCATTCTTAGGGAGATAGGCTTACCAGAGACATTCTGGTGAAGTATCTACAGGAATTGTATTTGTTAGAAAGGCAGAAATGGGGACAAGTTACCATGAGATTCTGTATAGCAACCCACCTTTCCCTGGACCAGGAGTTTAGGGGAACATCTCACTTAAAAATGATTGTTTCAAATGAGACCTGAAGGATGAGTAGAAATTGATTCACGGGAGTAGAACCAAAAGGTTACAAATTTATGTTGATTTTTCATGTTTTCTAATGTATTTTTTCATGTTTTAACTGTGAAAAGTAATTGAAGGTTAATATGGTTTTATTCATTTTTACATAGGCAACAAGAATGGGTGAATCAGCAAAGGGAAGATATTGAACGGCAAAGGAAACTTCTAGCCAAACGCAAACCTCCCACAGCTAATAATTCTCAGGCACCTTCTACCAATTCTGAACCAAAACAAAGAAAAAACAAAGCAGTCAATGGAGCAGAAAATGATCCCTTTGTTAGACCAAATTTACCACAACTGTAAGCCTCTATTTTGAATTTTCCTTTTTTTTTTTAAATTGTACGTAGTGAGTATAAATGTTAGTAATGGATGTTGTTTATAATTAATATTTAAAAAGTAAAAATAAATATGGCCAGGAAGGAAGTCAATATTGAAAATTTAGCTTTAAATTAATAAGCTCCAAACATCTGAATTCTACTTTTGTAAGTAGATACTGGAATCTGCCCTTTTTATAAGTCTGAATCAGTTAAAGTGTCAAAGTTTTGATTATTTCAATTCAATGTTCCTATTGATGTTCCTTTTCTGAGGGAATGTTAATTTAAGTATTATAACTGTCATTTATTTTCTGAAAGCAATTCATGGTGCTGGTTGTGAATATTGTTTTTTTTTTTTTCTGCTCTTTGTTTTCTAAATTTTCTGTGTAAATGACTCGCTCTTTGTATTTCAAATGATAAAAGCATTTAAAAAAATTGTCACATGCTTATCATAGAAAATTTGGAAAACGTGGAAGAGAGTAATAATAGACTGTGATTCCATCCCACAGAGAACACCCTTGTTAAAATTTCAGTGTACAGGTATATCTAAACTAATATTTTCTGTAAGAAAAGTTTTTCTAATTTTTCTGGAAGAACTTACATGAATTTATGTGATTAGAAAATATGTATACCCTTGATATTTTGTATGGGTATATTTCCTCCTCTGTTAAAATATGGTGCTTTGAATTCCATCATCTGCTATGTAAGGAACTTCTTGATACCTTCTTTATCTTACATCTTCAACCTTTTGCTCTCTACTGGTTCCTTCCTTTCAATCCATCAATGTTTGAGTCTTTTCATTTAATTGAATCTTTTAAAATTTCTTTAGTTTTCCCTATATAAGTCTTTCTTTTCCTGGGTTAAATTTAGTCCTAATTATTTTGTTTATTTAGATGTTGTTATACATGAGATTGTTTCCTTAATATTCTTTTCAAGTTGTTCATTTATGGTGTATAAAAACACAACTGATTATTGTGTATTGATCTCATACCCTGTGTGTTTGCAGAATTTATTCATTAGGTTTAACGGGGTTTTTTTTTCCTCATGCATTTTTTCAGATTTTCTACATGAAGAGCCATGCCATCTGTGAATACAGACAGTTTTACTTCTTTACAATTTGAATGCATTTTGTTTCTTTTTCCTGCTCTGGTAGGATTTCCACTAGAGTATTGAATAGCAGTGGTGAAAGTGGACATCCTGATCTTAGGGCTAAATCTTCAAAATTTTTACCGTTAACTGTTATGTCAGTTATCTATTTTTATAAAACCCCATTTATAATGTTGAAGAAATTCCCTTTATTCCTAGTTGTTTTGTGCTTTTCAAAGACAAACCATGCCCCTCCCCCTTTAAAAATCTAATCCTCAAAGCATGGCTTATGGTTAAATGTTCAGTAAAGCTCAGTTAAATTTTAATAAATAAACGAGTTATGCTCCCTCCACCCTTAAGTGACTCTAATAGTCTATTTACTACAGCTTGTATCATTTAACTTAGAGGCTTCAAGTTATTTTCCTTATGAAACAGATTGTCATTGGATATTAAATTTGTTTAGAAAGTTTTGGGTTTTTTTTTTGTTTTTTATTTTTTAGTTATACATATACACGATATCATTATTTTGTTTATTTGGACTTTTATGTGGTGCTGAGGATCGAACCCAGTGCCTCACATGTGCGAGGCAAGCATTCTGCCACTGAGCCACAACCCCAGCCCCTGTTTTTTTATAAACCTACTGAAGATTTTCTTAAACCTACTGAACAGCTTTATTTAAGAGTGTTAACATGCTTCTAAATAAAATATATTTGTGTATGTGTATACAATAAAATATTAATAAATTCAACCTAATATCTGATAAGATTCATATAGGAAGACATGGTTTGTTTGGGAAGAGCTGTGTCCTTATAGTGCTTGTGAATAAAAGATTTTGTTAAATAACTTAACCAAATGACTCGCTAGGAGGATTTTTGAAAAATCACCTTAAAACAGCCTAACAATTGGTAATTAAAAGCCATTAATGTTAATACTGTCCTAGCTTAGTTCTTTTCATTCTGTGCAACCAAATCCTATTTCTTTAAAAAAAAATTTTTTTTGTAGTTGTAAATGGACAGAATACCTTTATTTATTTATTTATTTAAAGAAAGAGAGAGAGAATTTTTTAATATTTATTTTTTAGTTTTCGGTGGACACAACATCTTTATTTTATTTTTATGTGGTGCTGAGGATCGAACCCAGAGCTCCGTGCATGCCAGGCGAGCATGTTACCGCTTGAGCCACATCCCCAGCCCAAGAATGCCTTTATTTTGTTTGTTTATTTTTATGTGGTGCTGAGGATTGAACCCAGTTCCTCATGCATGCTAGGGAAGCACTGTGCTGCTGAGCTACAGCCCAGCCCCAAATCCTATTTTTTTAGAGAAGATTGACCACTTTTCATTTATCTAAATACATACATTTCTTTAAAAAAGTTTTCCATTAATGTAGACATACAACAGAAATATCTAAAAAGCTTTTGTCAGGTACTTCATAATAGGGAAATGTAGACAAATGTAAGAAATGGCTCTTTTGCCATGATGAGGTTTGCATCATAGTCAGTGAGACAAGGCCTTTAGAATAGGAACACTAAAACTGGTATCTGTCAGCTCCCAAGTTATTTATATCTATGTAAACGTTTCTTGGGAGAATATTTTATAACTTGCTTTAGATTTGTTCTTTAGATACCTGTGGTTATAAAATGGTAAGAATCACTGCCCTTGAAAGTCAGTAGTATACCAACTCAAGAAAGCAAAATATTCTTCCTCTCAAATGGGAGAAATTCCAACAATCTGCATGTGTAGGAACTTGGCAGTTTTTCATGATAACCAAACTTCTTAGTAGAATACAGCTTTGAGATTTCGAGAACTTGCTGGACATGGTGGCACACACCTATAATCCCAGCAGCTCAGGATGATGAGACAGGAGGACCACAAGTTCAAAGCCAGCTTCAGCAAAAAGCAACTCAGTGAGACCTTGGGGATGTGGCTCAGTGGTCGAGTGCCCCTGAGTTCAATCCCTGGTACCCGGAAAAAGAAAAAGAAAACTTTCAGAGAACTTGCTATGTACTAGTTTTGGCTTTCAAATACCAGATTTTAGCTGTGTTTTGTTAACTCAGTAAAAATCAGTGTAAAGAATTGTATTTTATTCCTATATAGAAACAAACAAAAATATACAGTTTTTAAAAAGTCTGAGCCCATCCCATGCTCTACTAGGGGGCCTAAAACCCCACTTTAAGAGTAGAAAATTATATCATTATATAATTAAACTTCCACCCATGGCATATGTACATATCTAGAAGCTATTTGCCAGCTTTCCTGCATTGAGTTAGTTGAGATATTATATTTAGTTTTTAAACCTCATTTTCTTTTAGTATTGGCTATGTTCCTTTCTTTTGCTTTATCAGAATGCAGAATCATTTTTCTTAAGAATAGTATATAAGTCTTACAGCGGTCCCATTACATATATTAAAATGGTTAGTTTTCAAAGCTATCATAAGAATATTTGGAATTGATAATAAAATGATCATATCCCATACTTTAAAGATTTAAAGTTTATGTTTATTAAGAATTTAGTGCTGGAGCCAGACTCAGTGGCGCATCCTGTAATCCCAGCAGCTCAGGAGGCTGACAAGGGAGGATCACAAGTTCAAAGCCAGCCTCAGCAAATAGCGAGGCGCTAAGCAACTCAGCGAGACCCTGTCTCTAAATAAAATATAAAAAGGGGCTGGATGTGGCTTAGTGATTAAGCACTCCTGGATTCAATCCTTGGTACAAAAAAAAAGAATTTAGTACTGGGGAAAGAATATAGCTCAATGGTAGAGTTCTTGCATAGCATGTGTAAGGCCCTGGCTTCAATCCCAGAACCTCAAAAAAATAAATAAATAAATAAGAATTTGGGACTGGAGATATATGTCAGTGATAGATCATTTGCTTAGCATGTATGAGGCCCAGCGTTCAGTCCCCAGCACTGAAGAATTTTTAGAATTGCATGCTTTGGGTAGTTTTAGCTTTCCTTTATTTTGCTCCTCATACACTGATATAGACAAGGGGGTAACATCTGTTTTTTTCCCTCTTCCTTTTTTCCTAAATCAATACCTAGACTGGACTGACATCCTTTGAAGTGGTTTCCCATTATTCTTTGAGTAAAATTGATATTCTTTACCTGTTTACCTGGCCTAAAATCCATGCATGATCTGCCCTGCCCTGCTTGCCCATCTACAGCCTGATGCTCATATATTTTCTTCTAGTTTGCCATTGTATAGAATGTACTCTGAAATCGTCTCAAGAGCATTTAACAACTAGAGCAAATTACTGTTATTATCCACCATGCTTTTTTGTTTTCTTAAGAAGAATTTAATGTAACCTAAAATTATTATTTTTTAATTGTTTCTTTTTTTTTTTCTCTTTACCTCCATATAGAGTGTAAGCTCAAACTAAAATATAAGGAGAAATTGTCTTTTTTCCCTGTGTCCTTTGTTTCTATATTCTGGGTAACTTCATAGATGGTACTGATCAAATAATTGTTAGTTAATTGCTCCATCTATAGGTATTAGGCATATACTCTGAAGAATATCTTAAAGAATTTTTGGCTAAAAATTGTCACCATTTTTAGTATTATCATTTGGCCATTTTTATCATGTTTTTCTGGTTGTTAATAAGAAATAATAAGTATTAATCTCAAAATGTAGAATTAAAATTTCACTTTTGACAGGTTGACTTTGGCAGAATATCATGAACAGGAAGAAATTTTCAAACTTAGACTAGGACATCTCAAAAAGGTATGTGAAACATGCTGGATTTTTAGTTTAATTTGCTACCAAAGTAGAGAATTGTGTTCTCTGTATTTTAGAAGCCAAAACTTAAGAGAAAGATGCCAAATTTAGAACCCCCAGACCAAAAAAACAAACAAAAAACTCTTAAGTTGTATTTGTATCTTGAGTATATTAAAATAACATTTCTTGACTTTGTGGCAACTAACTTTAAAAATACTGAGATTCTGATATGCCAGGGTCTTTAGATTACTCTTCAGTGACACCTTTTGATAGAAAATGTTTGATTTTTAAGGTAAAATGTAAAATTCCATGTTGTTTGTGTCTGTTTCATAATGAATTAAAATAACAACTCTCAAAAACACACTTAAATTCTTTGGCTTAATTTTTTTTGTCAAATGCTTCTTTACGTGTTTTGATTAAAATACGTACATAAAGTTTTGATTAAAATACGTACATAAAGTTTAAAAGAAATAATCATTAGTCATAAAATGACATAATTTAGAAAAAACTTTCTGTATGTTATTGTAAATTTTTATAATGTATAGCTTTGTACTTGTTTGTTAACTCTGAAGTTGTAAAAATTCCATTGATTTTATAGGTCTTTATTTTAATTCAAACTTTTTAAGAACTAGTGATAAGAAAGTAAAGTTTTTCCCTGCCAAATGAAGTTTCTAATAGACATAAAGATTCCTTTGTTCTATCCAGTGTTTTATTTTGGTTTCTGCTTATCTGATTTATTTAAAAATTTTAACAGGCTAAAGTATAGCTAAAAAGGAGTTGATGAACTAGTTAAAGACACTATTTATGAGGTCATCTCCCTTGGGTTGGGTGAAACAGGACTGAGAAATCCATTCTGGTAGCTGCTACCATCACACTATATACTAATTTGTTTTTGCAATATTATCAATATGCCAGAGACGCCTGTCTTTGCTTACAGAGAATAGAAAAAAATATATATAAATATATACACACTGCCATTTGGTTATAGGGAATAGAAAAATGTTTTGTGTTTTTGTAGATGTGTATTTTATAATTTGTATCTGTGTCCTTTACTAAACTATAATTGTCTCTGCCACTGCCCAGAAAGCTTCAACCTAAATTACTTGAACAGTGAGTTCCAAATTATTTATTCTGGTCATCTTTTTAAAAAAGTCCTTTTATTCTTTTCTATTGCAATTAATGACTTTTTCCTGCTCTTTGAGATACAGTAGACAGCTTTTGTCTATTTTCTACATCAGATGGAACAATAGAACTGTAGTAATCATTCTGTAGTAATAGAGCTATATTGGATCTATGGAACTGTGGCAGCAAAGAAGGGATTTTTAGTACAGGATGAATCACAAGTATTTATGTGCCTACCTAAGCTATTTTAATAATGCTTATTCTTGATATTCCATGTAAAAAGCTATCAATTATTTTCTAACCAGCCTTTGGTGATAAAGAAATAGATATTTAGTTTTACTAGTATATACAACTAAGTATATATTTAGAATTCTACCTCAAGGGTTATTCACATGTAATAACAAAGTTTAAATTACATAATGATTACATTGTGTATGTGTGCCTTATGAAAAATCTTATCTTATGAAATTCAAAATTTTAAAGCAGTTTAATTCAGAATTGACTACTTATTTTACCAAAAAAAAAAACCCCACTTTTGAAAAGGCTTCAGAGGAGAGTTTGTTTTGGGGTTTTGGTTGTTTGATGATTAATTTATAGCTTTCCTTGTGTTTGGGAAATATTTTGTTTCTATAAATAATATGTTTATTTTCTAAATTGAAGAATACTTATGCATCTAGTTATTATATAAATACTTACAAATTATTATGGAATACTTCACGTTCTGTTCTAACCTTCATATTATCCTCCTTCCCAATGTTTGACTTCTACATTCTTCATATTCACTCATTCTTTCTAATAATTGTCCTTTCTATAATCTTTTTCGTGTTTCCCCCCCCACCCCAACTTTTATCAAATTTACTGAGCAGTCTTAGATTTCTGACTTTATCTTCTTAATCTACAACTTTTCCTTGACCTACCTCCATCATAGAATATTTTGGGAGAATGGATCACTAGTAATGCTGAAATATACCTGTATGTTTTGAATTACTCACATTTTCTTCTGAGAGACTATTTTGGGTGAGATGAATGAATGCATTTTTAAAGAATGTTGCTAGTAGTAATACATACAGAGGATAAAACTAAGCAAGTAATGTCACCTTTAGAGCACAAATAAATAGCAGGTGTCTGCTTACAATTGGGTACTATTTAATTGTGCAATTAAAAAATAACAAGCAGTAAGGTTCATGTATTAAAAATAGATTTCTAAAGCACAATTGGAAATAGGTCATTATAAATAGGTTATTCTGTTTTCTTAAAAAAAAAAGATTGAATAAACTTTTAACACAGAAGACAGGTTTTAGTCAAAAGAAAAGACATTACCGCCACTATATTATTAGCTCTCTGTGGTTCTGGGTGTATTAGGCTGACACAAACTATACCCAAACCTGTAAGTTGTGTAGCTACTACCACATGCTGGATCAGATCTGATCTTTGAATATTTAATGACCATGTAACTTGTACAGCCAGTAACCTGTGGGATGTCAGTTTAGGGTTTAGGTTTGGAGCCTGGCATACTTTTGCATTGGTAACTCATTCTCTCTCTTCTCTCTTTTCCTTTAATAAATGCTTAACATTAAGCAGAATTATTTATTAGATTAAATTTGTTAGTAGAGAAGTTAAAAACTAACTTCATAAGGAAGCTGATGCAGTATGAACAGATCTTTTTTCCTTTTTTTTTTTTGAAATGGAATAAATTATATGCACTGTATTTTGTAATGATATTAATGATAATTCAAATAGGTAATCTGAAGTATGAAAAAGTTTATTTACCATTGAATAAGTCATAATGTTCAGTTCACATTCCATGCTAATCTGTAGTGTTGGAAAAATAATAAGTCCAAAGTGGTTAAACTATGATAGAATCAGATAGAAACCTCCAAAAATAAGTACATGGCTATGATAAAGTGTTTTTAGTTGGTGTTTCTAATTGCCACCAAAAAGTAAAAGTAAACTTTACTTATGAAATTATTACCTTTGTCTTCTGAGATTAGGAAAGTCACTTTACAGATCACTTTTTTTCACTATCAAAAATTCTTTAATATAAATATTGTTTTAGTTATTACTAGTTTTGTATTCATTGCTTACTCATTTACAAGTGATTTATTTTCACACTCTACCTAATACAGGCATGATTCAAATTCTCATTTCATAATATTACCTTTAAAAAATAATAATACTTTTTGTAGACTTTGAAGTTTTAACCACTTTTGAGTGAACATAAATTTTAACTTTTTGAATGCAAAGATCTTTTTTTTTTTTTTGGTATTCTTTGACTATTTATAAAGACTAGTGACTGAATAGTGAATGACAGAGCCAGAACGTTGACCTTTACTCATCTTTCAGTGGCAACATGCATGTGCTTTATTTCTAAATTTATTTTATTGTAGATGAATAGTAAGTTGATTTTTTGTATTCATAAGAATTAATTCACTGTAGCTCTCATTGCATATCTCCTAAATCTCCTAAAGTACAGTCTTCAAGTAATGGGAGTATTTGCTCCTCAGGTTTTTTGAGAAACATTACATTTTTTTTCAGAGCAGTGTTAATCAGGTGTTTTTTACGTTCATCCTTTTTGTTTCTCTCTCTCACATTATGTTCATGATTGTTATAGCATCTAAAATATTTCTTTATTACTAGCTACTCTATTGATTTTCTGTTCTAAATTTATTTTTAAAGATCAATGAAGCACGTTTTTTGTAAGACGTATACTCTGGAATATTTTTTAAAAAATATCTTAAGGATTTCATAGAACAGAATAAAACTATATAATAAAACCTGGGACCATACAAGTTATTACTGAAAATATTTCAAAAAGAAAGTAACTTTGGACTGGGGCTGTAGCTCAGCAGTAGAGCACTTACCTTGTACATGTGAGGTGCTAGGTTTGATCCTCAGCACCATATAAAAATAAATAAATAAAATAAAGGTATTGGGCCCATCTACAACTAAAAAAAATTATTAACAAAAAAGAAAGTAACTTTTCTGTTACCAATACTTATGCATAACTTCCTCATTGTTCACTTATGAAAAACTTATAGTTGCAAAGGCAACTGTTTCCTGTCTTTTAAAAGTTGTTTCTCACCGGGTGTGGTGGTACAAGCCTTTAATCCCAGCAACTGGATGCCGAGGCAAGAGGATCATAAGTTTGAGGACAGTCTCTGCAATATAGCAAGGTCCTAAGTATTTAGTTGAGACCCTTCTCAAAATAAAAACAGCTGGGGATGTAGCTTACTGGTAAAGTACCCTCTTGGTTCTATCCCCTGTACAAAAAAAAAAAAAAAAAGAAGTTCTTTAAGGCAAAGCCACAAACATTCCTATATTATGTATTTCTGCCCCATGTGGAATCTTAGGATTTAAGGAAACAAACAAATCACACACTAGTTGATCCTGTTTTGATAATAGTCTTTCATAAACTCAAGTTATGGGAAAACAATTATCTTTGTGATTTGAGAAGCTCTGCTAGGTTGTTTGTATAATCAGATTATCATTCAGAAGTAGAAGACAAGAAAGAAATGATTTGAAAGGACTGTTATAAACGAACACATATGGGGGGAAAAATTCCTGAAAAACCAACTTCCTTATGATAGATTCTCTCTGTAGTCATAATGCTTTTAAAAAGATACAAATTGCCAGTCATACTTACAAGGGAATAGAATTTTTGAAGTTATTAGAATCTGTAACTATGTCTTGACACTGCTGTTACTCAAGTTTGTGATATGAACAGCATATGGATATGTGTTGCTCTTTGTTTTCTAGTCTTCAAATTTCATCATCTTCTTGGTTATTTAAATATTTGATTATTAAAGTTGGACAAATCAGTATCAAATATTAAATAGCATAGTAGGAATTGGCTTTAATGTGTGTTTGGTGTGTGCATGTGAGAG